TCCACCCCTTTCTGCGTTTTCACGCTCTACTTCGCAGGGATTATCCGTCTGCTGGTGGAATAGATGAACAGGTACTACCACTAGTACCTATAAAGACTTCAAGATGGACCCTTCTCCGTGGCCTGACGTGACCGATTCTGAGATATTTCTGTTTCTAGGAATAATCATTCAAATGGGACATGACATTAGAGACAGACTGAAGGACTACTGGTCGACTGTAGAACAATTTGCCACGCCTTTCTACTCTAACACAATGAAACACGACCACTTTCTACACATTCTTCGTTTTCTTCATTTTGCAGGCAACAATACAGAAACTGACAGGAATGACCGACTATGGAAAGTTCGGACCATCTTCAACACTCTCAATGACGCATATGAAAAATATAACCCTTCCCTACATTTGGCCATAGATGAGATAATTGTTAAATTCAAAGGGAGGGTGGTTTTTAGGCAGTACATTCCTAAGAAACACAAACGTGTTGGAATCAATCTTCAAAATTTGTTACGCCGCTGGGTATACTTATGACATGAAGGTTTACCTAGGAAAAGACAGCACACGTGCTACAGTTAGGGACCTATGCAGACTTATTAAGGGTGTAGGTCACAAACTGTACATGGACAATTACTTTTCATCACCAGACTTGTTTGACAAACTGATGACAAAGGACATAACGTGCTGTGAGACAGTCAGGCCTAATCAGAAGGGCTTGCCTGACGATTTTCGACGAAGACAATTTTGACTGAAGAAAGGTTACATTCGTGTTAGGGTGAGACAGAACTTGACAGCACTAGTTTGGAAGGACAAACGTGACGTTTACATACTGACAAACATGCACTGTCCTCCAGCAGAAGGCAGTTTCTGTGATGAGCATGGAAATGCCGTCAAGCCAGCAATTGTTGACTACAACACACACACATGGGTTATGTCCACAAAGCAGACAGAATGGCAAACAGTTATAGCACCAGTCGTCGCACCTGGAAATGGACAAATAAACTATTTTTCCATCTCCTGGATCTGACGATTCTGAACAGTTTCATCCTGTTGCCATCCTGTGGCGCGAAATTGTCACACAGAGAATTTCGTCTCGCCCTTGTGCGCAAAATGCTGGAACATGCTGCAAGGGGTCCACCTCGCCCTCAGTGGTTCATGGGTTGACCTGCTGTGTCATTGGCTATATCTTGATTAGAGGAGGCCACTCAACATCACTGGCCAACTTCCTCTAATAAGAGACCGAGTTGTCGTGTGTGCTCTTCACATGGGAAATGGAGTTACATCTGGACAAAGTGCATGAAGTGTGACGTCGGACTCTGCATTTCTGGATGTTTCCAACAGTACCACATGAAGGCAACATTCAGTTAGATGATGCAGGAGGGAAGACTCTACTTATATAGAACAAGAATTTCTATCTTAAAATTAGATTTTAAAACACTGTGCACACATGTGGACTGTGTGTACCCATACGGTGTCGCACGACCACTCGGCTGCACTTTAAAGGTCTCCATACAGTGTCGCTAGGCTCTTAACGGTTAACTGATGGTGACCCATCTGGGACTGTGGCTAGAGGGGTACTTGAGTGTAAAAATGTCATACTTGGGAAAGTAGTTGAATTTTGACATGCAGCCTCAAACTTGGAGCTGCAGGACCAATAGGAAAATTAATTACAACTTTCTAGAGACAAAGAAATATGTATGAACCCTCCCCTTGATGTATATATGTCTTGAGGAGGGAGTTATGAAGAAGTTTTAATGTTGTTTAGAGAGTTTTTGAAGCTGTGGAATTGTGTGGGTGGTTGGTGGTAACTGTGGAAGTCATTGAGTTAATAGAAAGCTGAGTAAGGAGATTTTTATATTGTCTGTGAACAGGAGTAACTTTAAAATTCCCAGTGATAATTCAACAACTGTCTCATGACTGAGATTTAAAAACAGTGTTTTGAATATAAATCAGATACACATGAAATTTACTGTGTTTAATTAATAGTTTACTTTTCAACTCCTGAAGATTTATTCCTGTCCCAGTCACTAAAGCAACAAGAATTCCCTGAGAAAATAAACCATGATTACTGACTAGCTGAGGCATCCTTTGCGCCTACACTCCTTGAGAACACAGAAACTACCAGAGACGGCATGCAGGAGAATCCCGGAGACCTGATGTGGGCTGAAGGTGGTGGGACGGTTGCACTCGTTCATACCTTGGGTTATATTTTGATGTCACTTTTATGCAGTAAACCTATGTTACTGTGGATGACTTTCTTTCATTTTTTGCCATACAACTCTGGTGTGACTTGAGATCCAGTGGATGACCAACAGTATGGAGCTCCATTCAATAATTTTATATATTGTAACGTGTCTTGAGTTCGAATCTTGTCAGTCACGTGTGGAGCTCAATCCCACTTCTGACACCAATGTAGCGTGTTTTGTGTGTCATGCTACAAATAAGTTCACGCCGTTCTCAAATTCCGTAGAACATTTATTGTCCTTCACGCTTACACAATCATTTACACCCGCAGTGTTGCAATCACTGCTTACAATATTCCGGCGAAGCTGGACTCTCTCCTCTAGCGGCTATTCTAGGACTTTCTTCTCTGATGGCTCGATCACGACTTTATTCTCCGAAGGCTGATCCGAGACTCGCTCCTTAGACGGCCCGATGGAGACTGAAGACTTCTCGTCGAAACTGGGCTTTTATAACCTTGGCCGCTGTTAGTTAACGAACCCTCTGTTATAACCATGGAGACTCCTGTTAGAACTACAATGGAGCAATTGTTGTCTCCTCTGTAACGGTCTATTCTAGCGTTTCCATAGCAGTGACTCTTCTGGATTGCAAACACGTTACATTGCTCCCTTCTAAAGGTTGTTCGTCCCCGAACAGCCTAAAGGTTCTCCCTCAGTTTCGATACGCGGTGTTCTGCTTGCAACGTCTGCATTCGGGCTTGGTGTCCTTCGCGCGTCTTATTGCGCCGTCCCTTTTACAGCATCCGCCCCTCTCTTCAGCTGTTCTCGTCCCGAGCACTTCCATAGCCGAGAATTTGCCGATCTCGTTGTCTCACACTCATCCTTCACTTTCATTCTTCATCCATCCTTGATGGAGAGGCCGGTGCTCTACCGGTTCCTCCCATAAGGGCCGTTTTCTTTCTTCCGTTTTGGAGGGGGTCGGCCCCTCCACAATGTCCAATTTTTCACCGTGAACCTGATAACTTGTTTTGTGTTCTTCACGTTGACAGGCTCGTAGGGGATCTTCTCTCATGTCCCTCTACTTCCTGGGTGCGGTCGCTGTCTTGGCCTGCACCCTCCGATGCCATTCTTGGTTGGCAATTTATTTCTCTGGCATGGCGGCTGTCTACCGCCTATCATCTTTATCCCTTTCGTTCTTGTACGCTGGCATCCGAAGGTTCCCTTGGGAGTTTCCTTCTTGGAGTCATTTCTCCAACGTCGTGCCACTGTCGCACGACGGGATGTCATTCTGTGGCCGACGGCCGATTCCTTCTGGGGTTTATGAATTACCCGTGTTGCATCCTTCGCTGTCTGGCAGCAGCACTCCGCGGCCAGTTTCTGGTCCCTACGCCGTTTCTTCGGTTCTCCGACCGGTATTCTCGTGGCGTCTTCCGTGGGGACCTCCTCTCTCTGGGTCGCCTCAGGTTTCATGTTCACTGAGACTGGCTCCACTACATCTTGGCAGGCTGTCATCTCTTCTTGCCAGACGTTCATGTCGACTTTCAACTTCTTGGCTCGTATGGCGGCCATTTCTCGCCATGGTTTCCAATCGGCCATCAGCTCTGCGTGTCTGGCATCGGCCTTTATTTGGTTAGATTTCACGTTGGCGTCAATTCTTGCCAACANTGGGGACCTCCTCTCTCTGGGTCGCCTCAGGTTTCATGTTCACTGAGACTGGCTCCACTACATCTTGGCAGGCTGTCATCTCTTCTTGCCAGACGTTCATGTCGACTTTCAACTTCTTGGCTCGTATGGCGGCCATTTCTCGCCATGGTTTCCAATCGGCCATCAGCTCTGCGTGTCTGGCATCGGCCTTTATTTGGTTAGATTTCACGTTGGCGTCAATTCTTGCCAACATTTCCATCATCTTTTCCATGTCCATGTTGTAGCAGTGAAATACTCGATGCATAACAATCTGTTAGTGGCGTGTTTAAGTTCGTAACACTTCTGACACCAATGTAGTTTGAGTTCGAATCTTGTCAGTCACGTGTGGAGCTCAATCCCACTTCTGACACCAATGTAGCGTGTTTTGTGTGTCATGCTACAAATAAGTTCACGCCATTCTCAAATTCCGTAGAACATTTATTGTTCTTCACGCTTACACAATCACACACTTTACAATCATCACAACTTGCAGTGTTACAATCACTGCTTACAACATTTGGCGAGACACTGGACTCTCTTCTAGGAGGGCCCGATCACGACTGGCTTCCAAGATGGCTCGATCACGACTGGCTTCTTAGCTGGCTCGATGAAGACTGAAGACTTCTCGTCGAAACTGGGCTTTTATAACCTTGGCCGCTGTTAGGCAACGAACCCTCTTTTATAACCATGGAGACTCCTGTTAGAACTACAATGGAGCAATTGTTGTCTCCTCTGTAACGGTCTATTCTAGCGTTTCCATAGCAATGACTCTTCTGGATTGCAAACATGTTACAATATATTTTGTCAACAGATGACACATGACTACTGAAAAACAAATTCATGATTACGTGGATTTACAAGAAATATCAAATCTTTGAAAGATGCTGCCCTGTAGGATGCAAAGTTTCAAATGTATCAGTATTAAAACATTTGAACCATTTCTTGTACACCAGATTTCTGATCGTTACAAAAGATTCTGAATTTTGATTTCTGATACAGATGCCATCTTTTCAACCTGAATGTATTACTATGTGGGTTAAGCCGAGTGGAATTTTGTAATGGGATAATATTAGGAAGTTTTAAAACATTATATTGCACATATTAATTATTGTAAAGATTTACTAACATATTTCAACCAATCATAACATTTTTTAAAAAAAATATCAAAATTACATACAATTTAGAGCCTACAATACTGAGATCACGCTTTCTGGATGTCCATTTTCTGTTTGTACATGGGCTGCTTTATCATATATCTCATACATTCAATCCAGTATGAAGGATGGACTACTACAAGGTACTACCTATGATTCAATGAAATGTGATTGGACGGATAGAAAATCAAACTATTTTACAACTAATCACAGTCACTCAACAACCATACTGATTGTTATCGGTGGAACAGATGTAGCATTATGTTCTGTGCAGTGATACCATTTCCACTTTTCATAACAGCAGTTCAGTTCCTTGGCCTAAATCGTGACAAATAGAAATCACAGTCACTACAATATACTGCAGGGAGTACCACCTGTCTCTTCCGACAGAGATGGCACGCATTATCTATCACTGGAGACAGTTTCTTTTCAAGATGCCTTCCTCCATCCTTGTTGGCATTCTGGGTATGCACCACCTTTATGCTTGTTGGGATCTGTTTCACTGGTGGAGGCTGGTATGGTGGGGTGTGTTGTGGTTGTTGAAGACAGGAGAGGGAGTCAGTCCCATGACCAGTGGGCTGTTGGTATGATGTGCTTGTCACCGACTGTCTCTGTGGGTATGGAAGACAGTGTCCGTTGCTCAAGCCAGGCACAGAGTTGGCAAACTGCTGCTGATGGTGGTAGAAAGGTTGATGGGCAGGGTGTGGGGGATGCTGATATTCTGGTGGACTTTGAAGTATGTCATTATATGCAGGTGAAGACGTAGCAGAGAGACTGTTTACCTGTTGCTCTGGGTAAACATTTGCTGTTACATGCTGCTGGAGAGGAATGTTTCTTTGTTGGTGAATGTACAGGCTCTGCTGTGGTGTGTAACTGCTGTACATATGTTGTGGCACAGGTACATGTTGGTATGGTGAGTGGACAGCAGCAGGAGAAAAATGATGCATTTGGTTTGAGGTTCTCAGCATATCTGGGTGGATTTGTTTGTAAGGTGATCTTGGGTCATGTGGCTGAGTAGTCTGATGGAGAATCTGATGTTGTGTAAGTTGAGTTTGTTGCTGGACTTGTTGGTAGGCTGCATTGTACTGGTTTGTGTTATATGTAGGTTGCAATGGCACTTTCTGATATGGTTGTTGTGGATGCTCTACTTTCTGCTGTTGCGACTGTGGAGTGTGTTCCTTCATGTTTAATAATGGCCTTGTTGGTTCAGAGTGAAGCTCAGAACCCTGGAGATTCCTCACTTCAATATGGGGTTCTGCTGGCTGCTGTGGACTGTCCTGCTTACCATTGAATGCGGACCTCAGAATACGCTCTAGGATTGGGTTTGGGATGTAACTGTCTTCCTCCTCATCTTCTGCAGTTGCAACAAGTATCACCTGGTCACAAAATGTCACATTCTTCTTCTTACCATTTTTCTTCCGTATCTCTTTGACTTCCACTTTTCCTGGTAATGACATCTCTCTCTTCATCTCCACATTCACCGCTGCTAAAGGAAGGTCACAAGTTTTTTGTTCCAGCATTGCACTTCCACCTACTGACAACAAACACTCAACAGATGAATCACTGGCACTATTACGTTTCTTTACAGACAGAACTCCTGTGTCAAACACATTGTCTGAGCGGTTTTCACGCAGACTTGGTGGGCAGTTTGCCAGAAAGTTTGTACTTAAATCAAAACTTGAGCTCAGGTTTACACTAGGTTGGAAACTGGGGATAGTCTGTTCCAGGGGTAGGACAGGAGACATCCCACCATTAGCACCATTCATTACAGGAACTTTCACTGCAGAGCTTGTAATAGTTTTAGTAAGTCTAGCTTCAGATTCCGCACTGCTCACAGGCATCTGAGTCTTATGAAGACGAATGTTTTCGAATCTTGAAGCCAGATCCTTAACTGATGATGGTTTCCTATCCTGGTTTGTACCATTACTGATACTATTATCATGCTGTCCAGACCTGTTTAATGTGTCTGTCATACCACTCTGTAGTTTCTTCAGTTTCCGTTCTGCCTGTTTGGCTTGCAGTTCTCTCAACCACTCTTCACCAGACTTCCCTGATGAAGTTACTTCAGTTTCCATCTCCTTTGTTGTTGATGTTTCTTTTGCCAGAATTTCCTGTCGCTTCTGTTGAAGTTGTAGAAGAAGACTACTAGGAGTTGTCTGTTGTTGCTGTGGTAATGGTGAAGAATTATTCTGCATGGGAGATTCCTCAGTACCAATTGAAAGGGACTTATTCATAGCTTCTACTGCTACTGCAGTATCCAGTGGAGGTGGAGGAGGTGGGAAGTCTTCACTTGCTTGTCTGGAATGTGACACTGAATTCAGAGGACTTGGATATGGAGGCAAGGGCAAAGTGGGCGGTGAAGTACTGGTCACTTTACCAGGTGGGTCTTGCTGCAACTCAATCCTGTTCTGTTCACATGTGTACTCTGGTACACTGCTGTTGTGTTCATTGTGAACTTCTGCTTGAGTGACTAGTTGATTGCCATGCAACTGACTCCGGTTTTGGCATACTATTCCACCGTTTGCATACATCACTGCATCCCCCTTAATTATCTGCTGATACAAGCATTCATTCACTGCTTGAACATGGTTCATATCTGAACTATAGGTGGGAAGGTAAGGCAAGGATTGGGGCTCAAAGCTGTAGTATGGGGAGGCTGAAGGATTCTGGGACACTCTGTTGTCTTCAGTTATATGTCCAGGTCTGTGGAAGTGGGAATAAGCAGGATGGAAATTTGTGGTCTCTGATGGTAAAGGAAATTGTGGTCTCTCAATTCCAGAATTATCCCTTGATGAAGTATCAGGCTTAGCTGATAACTGTGAAGTTGTACGTAATGGAGGAGGTGGAGGCACCTTAGGGATATGGAGAACTTTTCCAGCACTGCCATGGAAACTCTTCCTCATGAGCTTGCTCCGCTCAAGATTTGGGTTCCCACTACCTGTATATTCCAGGTGGCCTTCTGACAAGTATCCACTTAGGGTACTTGTTCCAGCAGACTTATCAGCACCTTTCAGGCCAATGCTGCTATCATCTTGGGATGCCTTCATACCTGCACCTATACTCTTAGACTCAATTCCTCCATCATTTCTTCCAGTGCATTCCCCACTTTCCTGGCCCTCTCGCAAGTCTGGCATAGAACGGTTCTTTCTCCTGATGAGACCTCCCATCAGCAACTTCCTGCGTATCTTATGTTGTTTCTTTCCTTGTTTCCCCTCACCACCTGAGTTTCCATTTGGTTTCTTGGGGACCTCCTCAACTTTGCCTTTCTCCTTTTTCCCATCTTTAGGAAGAGTCAATGAGGCAGAACTTAGTGCAAGGGTGTAGTCTCTTGTGTTCTTATTCCTTTCCTCACTTCGTGCTCTCTTCTCCCTTGCATTTCTTTCATCATCTTTCTTCTTTCCCAGAATGGTTCTGCCAGTATACAGGCTTCGTTCCCGCCCAGGACGATCATATAATATGTATTCTTCATCTTCAACAATGTGGCTACTGTCATTGCTTGTCCGGGCTTTATTCCCACGGTAACTTCCTCCTACCTTTTTCTTTGGTAAGGTGGCATAGATCTCTATGTTTTTGGAAGGCTTGTCAGTTGTAGAAGAAATACCACTTGCTGGGAGTTGTGTTAGCAGTTCACGGCTGTTCTGTCGAGAATGTTGGGATGAAGATGTCTTGTCCTTTGAACTTTGTCTGGAATGCTGACCACCAGACTTACTACTGGAGCTACGGCTACTCCCACCACTACCTTCTCTGCTGTGACGCACTTCCAGGCCACCATCTGAAAGAGAGAAATAAGTTGTTACTCACTTACTTACTTATTCCTTGACTCTTCAGTCCTCTATGTACCTTGGCCACCATTTAATACATGCCCCTTCTTCTCTGTTATTTACCTTTTGCCTTCATCACTTTACTTTCAGCTCCAGTAAATCATTCAATAAATTTTCCAACCATCTCAGTTGCACTGTGTTCTCAATGCAGTTATAATTGTAACCTCTTGATATACACCATGTGCAATATATCGTCACATTCATCTAGCAACTGTCCTTAATAAATATCAAAAGTATGTATTACTTGGTTGGACATATGGCAAGCTCAGATAGTTTTATATATGTATGCACATCTTAATAACAGATGTAAATACACAGCTACATTGAACTAAATAATGAAGCATTTGGCATAATGACACCGAGGATGATCCATTAAGGATTGAAATGCCTTGGATGGTTCTAATTGTTGTTCTTAATCCCAGACTTTCAACACAGAATGTTTTCTCAGTGGTGGTCTTTTAATGTTACAGTTATGTTATGAAATTACAAATTATTCCTTCTTTAATTTATATATATTGTGATAAATTTACCACAGTCCTCCTGACATTTTTTATTGATCTATCAGTGTCCCCCCATCCATTTATTATCAGAATCTTCATCAGTCAACCATTATACATACTTTGTTTGTTATCTGTCTTCTCAATTACCATCATCATCATCATCATCATCAATTTACTGCATATCATTCATTCTCTATCATTAATCTGTTTTCCTTTGTTCAGTGATCCATTTGATGTCTGTTCTTACAATCATCACCATTACAAATCATTATTAATGGACACTGTCTGTCACTGCTAGCCTTCATGAGGGTTTAGAAACAGGACCTCTGGGATTTAAAGAGGGATACCGGAACTGAAGGGAAATCCAGTGATCTGAGTTTGAAGAGAAACTCATCCCAGCAATGGGCAGTGGCAGATCGTTTAAGGATAGAAGTGCTTGATAGTGGGGGTGGTGAACTGAGCAAGGGATAACAACAAGTTTTAAAAGGACAGAAAAGATGTAGTAGGACAGTGATGAAAGTGTAGTGATGGTGGTGGTGGCTGTGACAAACTGAGCAGGGGACAAGAACAAGTTTCAAAAGGCCACAGAAAATGTAATCGGAGAGTGGTAACAATGGTGTGGTGTTATTGTTGGAGGGAAGCAACTACGCCACAAAGGTGTATGGGGGATTGGATGTATAGATTCACTACTGGGGAGCAGAAGGATAATGAATGAAAAGAGATTTGGGAACAGAAGGAAGGGTTAAGGGGAGGAGAGTGGTGGTGGTGCAAGGAATAAGAAAAAATATTTCAGGTGAGAATATAGTGGGAAAATAGCACCAATTACAGAAAATGTTGTCTCATAAAATGCTGCAAATGTGGTTACTATAAGTGCTCACCATCCTTGCCAGTCCCATTGCTCTGATTGTCCTGCTGTGTCTGCATCAGTCGCCGATGTAGGCTCCGCACTCGCATTACACACGTATTATGTTTCATACGTGCAAATGTGAGTGTCTGGGGATTGTTATAGGGTGCATCCATGGCAGCTCTTGCCTTTCCTACTGCAGCATGACATAGGACCAGGGCTGTTTCCAGATCGCGGGCCTCCTCAGTGGCACGGGACTTATCCAGCAGCTGGTCTGCCTCAAGACACAGTCGCTCACAGTCATCTCCTGTAGCTGAAACTCTAGTCTGCTGGTACAGGCATCCTGTGACCCCACCTGCCTGCAGGCCTTCAGGTATCTGTGTGAGCTGCAAGGACAGAGCAACATTCTTCTCACAACATTTATCTACCTTCTCACAATCCATCCACCCACCAGTTTTTGTGAAATTTGGTATATAAACCATACCACTTGATGACATTTCTAATTTACTGTCATTGACAATACTAACAACATGGTGTTATAAAATTCTGAGGTCTGAACAACACTACCCCCACTTACAGCTCTGAACTTAGGTGGAAAAAACACTATCTATTCAGAGCAGGTTCAGGTAGTCTTGTCATACGATGGCACTGGATAGCTGTAGATTACATCAGAAGACTTCAGAAGCTAATGGCATGGAGAAGTGTCCTTAAGAAGCTGAGTTACATAAGTTGATCTGGAAATCCCATGCCTTTTATGGAACCTGGTGTTTGGTATCATGTTCAGAACACCTGACTATTGACTCTCCTGTGTCAGTTTACACCCTCACAGCCCGTTTCTTTAAGATCTGTTTCAGTAAATTTCTTTCAACTATACCTTATTCTGGGGGTACAGAGTAGCATAGTTGGTTCAGGCACTATGCTACAAGCCAGCAGGTTGCGGGTTTAAGTCCCAATGAGGTCACTGGATTTTTTCCAATTGACCCAATACTTCCAGCTGCACTATGGCCCTGGGGTCGACTCAGCCTCCAACAGAAATGAGTACCAGGAATATTCTTGGTATATTCTTGGAGGTAAAGGGCGGCCGACATGTGGGGCTGACAACCTTGCCGCCATCTATGAGCCAACTGTCTAGAAAATGTGGGAACCTCAACATCTCATAACCCTATGGGCCGTCACGTCCTGTTATAGAGATGCCTTTACTTTACTTTTAAGCCTTAGTCTACCAAGTGGCCTCTTCCCTTCAAGATTTCTAGAATATATAAATTTCTCATATCTCCCATGCCCTACTCACCTGATCCTTGGTTTGATCCATTAACAGTTTCTGTTTAATGTAATTTTGATTTTCTACTGTCATTTCAAAACATTTTAATTTTGCAGCACTTCTGAAGGATTTTGTCCTGCATTTTTGTTGATCAGACATGAATACATGCTTAGCCTTCTCTTTGTTTATTTCCAGATCAACCTCCTTAATAGCATCTGACAGAGTTCATGTGTTTTTCTTTACAGTATTTTATGTTTCTGTCCAATAAATTAACACAATGAGAACAGACCTGAAAGTAATGTGTTGTAGTGGACCGCGCAATAGCACAAGTGGTTAGTCGCTGGCTTCCCACTGCAGTTGCCCAGGTTCGATCCTGGGTCTGGTCAAGTGGGATTTGTGGTGGAAAAGTGGCGCTGGAAGCAGGTTTTCTCCAAGTACTTCGGTTTCCCCTGCCAATCTTCATTCCACCAATTGCTCCACAATCACCCTCACCTATCATCTGGGGCTGGTACAATAGGCCAGAAGTGGCTGCATACAATGGACTTAGTCCCACCCCACGAGCAATAAAAAAAGTGTTCTAGTTAATTCCAGTTCTTCATGATGAAAATGAAGCTGAAATGTGATGGCAATAATACTTCTGCTTACATGAGGCATTCTGACCAGAAAAAGACACCAGAGAAATGTTTAGCTATATGGACTTTATGCCGTTTATTTTAATTCATCTTAATAAGTCAAGTGGGGATACCAAATTCGACGAGAAACTGCATAATACATATTTCCTGACTGAACTATAGTCTTTCTTCGAGTCCTATGACATTGTCCCATTACGTATATCCTCATTTCTTTTCAAGCATCCAGTGAATGCAGAATATCTAACCCGTCACTGATCTATTATGTGAGAATTTATGCTGATGATTCTGAATGTCTGCATATGATGTTAACCTAGTTACTAGAATATTAGACAAAACTGTGCATGAAATTGGTATGAATGATTACACGAGTTTTATCACTCTTTATAGTATAAAACTAAAACATTTTTTCTGCTGTGGACTTTAATTCCTTGCCTTAATTAATTCCACTTAACTTCTGGACTGTCCAAGTTTGTGGCTTCATTACTGTGTTGAGAAACTAATGTAATGATAAATTTAATTCCTGCAATATACAATCCATACTAAAATAAAATGTAAGTTACCATTTAAGTATACCTAGTTTATTTTCATATGCTGATTATTTGTTAAAATTGTGGCATGTTTCAGTCATACAAGACCATCTTCAAGGAGTGTACTATATTAAAGAAGGAAACTTTACAAATTATATACAAATAAATGATTGAAATATCTGCATCATAAACTTCTTCTTTATATACATGATTTGTAAAGATTAATATGGTACAGCTTCTGAATATGGTCTTATAAGAATAAAATATGTTTGGGTTTTAACAACTGGTAATTAACACATGGAAATAAACTAGGTAGATGGTAACTTACATCTTATTTTAAATGTAATGAACTCACCTGCAAGTTATGTTTGAGGCTCTGTTGGAGTGGTAGGCTGTCTGTGGAGGACAGAGAATAAGAATCGTAGCCTGCATCATATGGCCCACTGCTTGAGCTGGACAGGTCTCCAGGCTTGATTCCTGTTGGACTCCTGGGCACTGCTGACTGCTGCTGCTGTTGACCATTCTGTGACATCACACGGGACCCCATCTTCCCGACAATGTACAGATAAGGATTCTCCATTGATGTTGATGATGATGATGATGCACTGTTCCTGTCCCCACTCCAGTTGCCTGAGTCCCTTCTCCGTGGAATGTTCAAGTGATCTGGCATGTTTATTCCATCCCCAGAGCCACCTGATCCAGTCACATGTCCTGTGTAACTCCCTCCACTGTTGCTTCTTTGTACCATCTGGTGCTTCTTCTGCTGGTAACTCAGCACATTCTCCACTGCCCTTCGGCTGATGTAACTAGGTGCTCCATTACCCAAGTCCCCATCAACTACATCCACTCCCTGGTTCTTGTCACCACTGAAAATGACTGCCTGTATGTCTGTTAGGTTCTGGTAATCACTGCAAGGTTTGGACAGCATTTGCTGGTATCGTTGAGCATTATAGTGGTGATGAGGTCCTTCAGGGTTTGGAGTGATTGCCCTTCTGGGTGCTGAGTTATTGGAGGACTTCTCTGGACTTGGAGTTATAGAGCGTCTGATAGCCATACCTTGGTTAGGAGTTGAAGTTGATGAGAACTGTGAAGGGAAAGTGTGTGGAGACTTCATAGAATCTTTGTGGTTAGGAGAGGAAACTGGCACAGGAATAATGGATTTTGGAACACTTTCTGTTGAAACAGGTGTTCCACCCTGGACTGCATACAGGAGCAGAAGGGGTTGATACCGACCTCGACGACATTTTTCAACCACCTGCTCCCAGCGGGGACCAATTTCACGCACAGTAGCATCATCAAAATATATCCAGACTCTAAGCTTCGTATGGAAGAAGAAGGTTGAATAATGTTTGCCATAATAAGTGACAACACCAACCAGAGTGTGTGCTGTCGTCATAGCCCATCGATGGTCTACAACACTATGGAACACATCAGAGAGTCTTAGAGATGTACCCACTGTTGCAAACACATCCATAATGTGATCTATAGTTGGGCGCTCGGAGTCCCATACCACTCCCACGGATACAATTTCTGGCCGATTCATGAGTGCCCTGCATATCTGGATCTTTGCCCCGCACGCACTCTATGAAATGAACAATTAAAAACAACAATAACTAATTTTATCGTTAGGAAAGTACACACTTGTCAGGCAGTATACATAAATTTGGGTCAATATTTACTTTCAATTGGATCTACTGTGGCACTTTTGTGACATACTCCTCTTTTCAACTTGAGCCTGAGAGAAACAGACAACTAAATAACAAAATTTTGAACAATTACAGATGCCTTGTGAAGCAGTAAGTTTAAAGGCAGGATATTTCTCTTCTCAAGCATAAAATTAACATCATTGCTATAAACAATTACCTGATTTTGGCCACATAATTCAAACCTTTGTTAATTTTATTTAACTTATGATAGTATATATATATATATATATATATATATATATATACATACATACACATGATACACTTTTTGAGGCCAACTTAAAATTTCACTTACAGGACAGTCCCTGATGTCCCCCATCCCTCCTGCCTTACGCAGCAACTGTCCAAACATGTCTGGATGGGCGGATCCTGGAGGATTCTGTCGGGCTTGGGCTGTTAGTGCAGATGCTGACACATAGTGCACCATCTAATAAATCAAGAACACTGTAATCAAAACTCCTTCTAGGACACAGATATATATATTTTTTTCTTCTAGAGTTTTCTTTCCACGCTTTACTGCCATGCTTAAGAAGCTGATGAAAAATGAAGGGAAAGAAGTGGCTGTTATCCTTTTTGAAGTGCTTGAGCATTTGACCGAAGTTCAGTAAGTAAACAAAATGGGAACACTCAAATAGGGAAATTACTCATGCTTATGTGCAAGACCTTGAAGTGCACAGAAAATGCAAACACAAATTTCCACACTTTATTAACCCTTTGACTGCCAAGCCCTACCACAGAATTACATGCTAGAGATGCCAGGGATGCTTGGAGATAATGCAGTTGCAAATAAAAATTCACAATACTTTTACAGATTACCATCAAAGGATCATAGGTGTAGATAAGATGAGAGCCTGTTCTTTCCCCTCAACATCAGCATATCACACCTGATGTCATCTACTGACAGAAATGCTGTAATAAGTGATTAAATTTGATCTAATCTCTTCCACTGTGGCAGTTTGACACAAGTATGCCAAGCTGATCTAATCAGCTTATGGCATGCAAAGTGTTAAGCCATACAGAAGACAGGTGAACAGACAGCTTCACGCTCTGGCCACCTTTATATTAAAAGAAAATCTGGATGTATTTATGAAACAATGTTGGGTGATCTCCAGAGCCATTTTAGACAAGCTGGTGAAGAAATTGTACTGAAAGATTCAGCCAGAAATTAATTACTAACTATCTAGCCCTCACTCAGTTATTTTATTTATTGAGCTCTATTGGTTACTGAATGTTTATAACAGTTTTTCTTCACCCAATGAATCTTCAACAACCAAAATCACTAGTTCAAACATTGTTACCTTCATTCATAACACTATTCATAACATGAGGGTAAGTCGATAAATAAGTTACAAATGGATATAGAACTTAAACAAATAAGAGTACTAATTTGGAAAATGCTTTTATTTCTCAACATACTCTCCCTGTACATTGAGGCACTTGTCCCATCATTTTCACAAGCCCCTGAAAACCAGCAGCATAAAATTCTTTGGGCTGCTGTTCGAACCAGGCGTGTTCACACGGCATGGCCTACCTCATAATGCATGATGGGTTAGGTTTTCACAAAGTCTGTGCATGATGGGTGCCGTGCATGCTGACCCCACAACACAAAATGCAAAGAATGGATCTGGCATTACAGCATCTCAGTCACTACCACGATGGACACGATATGCTAGCCCGAATTGACACAGGTGATGAGTCTTGGGTTCACGATTACCAGCCCGAGACAAAGCGTGTGTCAATGCAGTGGAAACATCCTGCATCGCCTTGAGGCTGGAATGCGGTGAGCAGTATGCCTTCATGATCCCAGAAGACTGTGAGCATCACTTTCCTGGAGGATGGTGTCACCTTAAACTTTTTTGTTGGCACTCGACGCAATTTGGGCTAGCATATCATGTCCTTCATCATGGTAGCGACTGAGATGCTGTAATGCCAGACCCATTCTTTGCATTTTGTGTTGTGGGGTCAGCATATGCGGCACTCATCGTGCAGAGACTTTGTGAAAACCTAACCTGTCATGCATTATGAGGTAGGCCATGCCATGTGAACATGCCTGGTTCCAACAGCAGCAATTTTATGTTGCTGGTTTTCATGGGCTTGTGAAATGATGGGACAAGTGCCTCAATGTACAGGGAGAGTATGTTGAGAAATAAAAGCATTTTTCAAGTTAGTACTCTTATTTGTTTAAGTTCTATATCAATTTGTAACTTACTTATTGACTTACCCTTGTACAAAATTTAACAAATATCTGTTCTTCAAAGTGTGTGACTATGGCCCTGGGGTCGACTCAGCCTCTAACAGAAATGAGTACCTGGAATTAATTAAATCATTTTCTTGGGGAGTAAAGTGTGGCCGGCGTGTAAGGCTGACAACCTTACCGCCATCTTTGAGCCGATTGTCTAGATAATGTGGGACCCTCAACGTCTCACAACCCTATGGGCCTTCACGGCCTGTTACAGGGATAGCTTTACTCTTTTTTTTCTTGCTTCATAGTGTGCATCCTGTTGTGTGCTAAACACGGTGAAGAACATGCCTAGTATAATGCCCATACAAGGAAGTGCACACGATATAATTAGTGACAATAAGTATCACACAACTTTATATTCATGAACACGTGTATGTTAACACTGCACATAACAACCCCTTACAATAGCTTTCGCATACATTTATACATCACACCCCTGGGCACTATGACCGTTCACATCTGGACGCTTAACAACATGGATCCACAAACTATATAATGATGTAGCTTAAGACTAGCTTAGCACTATAACTTTCAAATTTGGCATACATAATTTCTTAATAATTTTAATAACTTTTAATAATTGTTAATAATTTTAATACACCTTTCAATACTTTTAATACCTATAATACAAAGCCAGTATACTTTTATAATATATTGTTTTATATTTCCTTGATATCTTATATTTTATATTTTAATTTCAGTACTTATATTAACTCGAGGCACAAATTCTGTATCACAGAATATGACATGTTGCACCAATATGGATCAATATTAGAAGTTCAGCGACCTAGACGTATTCTTATATCACTGCCTGATGATGGTCCTGTGAGACCAAAACATATAGCAGGAAGTAAATATTCAATTGTAAAATATTGATTGATTATAAATCACTTTGTTGTGGTGACAGCTAACCTAACCATATAAATATGTCCACTTATACATTATTTTGAATAATTGTGGACTGTTTCTAAAAACAGATAAGGGATCAAGTGCAACATATTGAAAACCTAATTCACAATGAGCATACATCTATGACACTAATGATAATGCATGCACTATGCCAAAACTGCAGTTACATGGCATAAAATCATTTGACCTGAGATTTAATTTTTTTAGATAAGCAGAAAATGAATATGAAGTGCTGAAATGAAAACTTCGTACTTTTCGCCAATAGTGGTTTTAACTGACTCATCAGTATCATTTACACTATTTGCTTCTGCTTCCATCCAATTTTGGACAATTTAAACTCACCCACTGGTTTCTAGATTCCTTTACCATATTAAACACTACTACATGACACCACACAACTGTATGCAACTTGTTTCACTGTATCCCAAATCATGTACACATTAAAATACATGCAGATGATGTCACAAAATGTCCACTTAGAAAATGAAGAAAATTAAAAAAAGGATACATTAAGGCAACTCACTGAGAAATAGTTTGTGAGAATAAAGGAGGTAGATTTAACCAGCTCATTGTTGTGTTTAATGTCTTCCTTGTGTATTACTGATATTGATCCTTCACTTTCTGCTACCAGTGTTGGTTTGAAAACTTTTCTGCCATGAATATTTCTTCAGGGGAAATGTCTTGGAACACTTGCGGCAAGGATTTTTATCAATGTTGTGGCACGCCACTTTTCACAGCTAATCAGCAGTCACTCTTCTAATGGATTAATATAGGCCACGCCATAGCTCAAGCGGTTAGTCGCTGGCTTCCCACCGTGGTGGCCCGGGTTCGATCATGGGTCTGGTCAAGTGGGATTTGTGGTGGACAAAGTGGCGCTGGAGCAGGTTTTCTCCAAGTACTTCGGTTTCCCCTGCCAATCTTCATTCCACCAATTGCTCCACAATCACCCTCACCTATCATCTGGGGCTGGTACAATAGGCCAGAAGTGGCCGCAGTACAAGGGACTTAGTCCCACCCCACTAACAATAAAAAAATGGATTAATGCAGAATATGCTCAGAAAAAGAAGGAAATAGGTGCTTAACACACACTGTACATATACTTCAGTGTTTTCATTTCTAAACTGCCCCTTTTTCTAACACAAGAAAAAAGTATATGCAAAGCACTAAGGGAGAGTCACACACAGATCGGTCACAGAGGGCTAGACTTGCACCAATACCTATGAAACTTCGGTTTATGCCTTGTCAATGATCCTTCTGAATAAAATATAGTGATTCTCTCAACTACGGTGATAGTACTGCCTTCCTGTGAACTGCAAAGTTGGAAAGATGTGCAAGAAAATGACTGAAAAGTGTTACCCCCTGCAATTAGTTAACCGATCAGAGGAAAAGGATGGAACCTTTTTAATGTGAACCAGATACTCGTACATCCCAAAAGATCAATTTCACATTTTAAGTTTAAAGCAAAGGATATATGACTATATTTTGGCCAATTGATTGATGAAAGAATATAAATGCCATGCTAAGAGACTAATTACTCAGGACAACCATATAATTGTCCACTTCTGCTGTACCCAGTTAGGGCTCCACTTTATTTTCCACACAATATCATTCCTTACAAAGCTCAAGGCCCCTTATGAAATGAAGGAACCAGGGAAGTCCAGTAAAAGTAGCTGTATATATTTTACTGTCAGTGATGTTAGGGCTTTACCTGTCCTGTCTTAAGATTCCCAGATTATCTGTAGGAAGTACAATAAGCCACAGCCTACAAAAGAAAGCTGAAAACATTGTATCCATTCTCCTTTTCATTCCTTGAAATTTCACTCTGTGGTAAAAATACTGTAAAGCAGGGCTGTTCAACCCCTGGCAAGCAGGTCTCACAAAGATCTGCTCCTTTGTGGCTCATGAGAATATCCTTCCATACCCAAGATGCCGGGATTGCGCAGTCAGTATAGCGACTGTACAGGATGGATGGTCAAGAGATTGGAGTTCAAGTCCCAGTAAGAGAAAGATTTTTCTCCACTCTACGTCATTCAGACTGGTTCTGCAGCCCAGCCAGCCTCCTACACAATGGGTACTGGGGGCTCTTTCCCAGGGAGCAAAGTGGCTGGAGTGTGCTGCTGACCACTCACTTCCAACTAGTACCAAAGAATGTGTGGATCTATACTTCCACTCCCCCATGTCTTAATGGTATAGTGCCTAATTAATTAAGGACAGCGACAACTTTACTACCTTTACCCAAGATATGTTTTAACTCTTTCCTCGTCTTGAAAGAAAGCAATGAATGTTCTTAGAAAAACTTATAATTGACTTCACAGGCCACCTTACAAATAACCTATAAAAGTAGGGAATTTGTATGAATCCATGAGCGTATGTAACATAAGCTGATTTTTAAAGCACTACCAAGGTGGCGAATATTTATATCCATATACTGAAAAAATTGTTTATTCTGTACTATCAATGTTTTTACATATATTATGCAGCCTTTCTATTGCTAACTAGGGAATAGGTCTTATCAGTTGTAACGCCATTTAGACTGGAGACGGCCCGACGTTTCAGAAGAACGTATCCTTACCATCTTCTGGGGTGAAGAAACCAACCAACTAAAAAACTAGAATAAGCAGGTGGCAAGCTCATCGCCCTGCCCGCCGCGGGTTTCTTGGTTGGCTTACCCTTAACCCTGAAGATGGTAACGGTATCTTCCTCTGAAACGTCAGGCTGTCCTCAATCTGCATAGAATTAACCCCAGAAGAACACATCCTTCATATAGTCTACCCTGAAAACCTCAAATTCAACAAGGTATCATATGGTCTCTCAGAGGTCTCAAGTTGGTCACCCCTGCTTAAACAGTAAAGGAGGGTGGCTTGAGTTAGAACAGGTACTAGCATTTTGCAGGTAAGGGTGTGTTTCTGTGGGATGGCTAATGGCCTGCCTTTCCTCCCTCACAGAATGGAAGAATTGTAACTACTTTCTTCCATCCCAGGCCAGCCAGTGAAGTCAGAGTATAGAAAACTAAACCTAGGGCATCTAGTGCCCATAAAGCAGGAAGAGGAAGACAAAGGAGGAGGCAGGAGATATGCTGGAGAAGGAGAAGTGGATGCAAGAAGGTACCACAAGAGAGGAGGGAAAGGGCGAAACAACCTGCCAGGATATCTCATCTTCATTCCAATCTGGTCTCCTAAATAGAAATTTGCAGCCTTGCCCTTAATCTGCCCAGTATAATTATCTCAAGCCATTTGTGTAAAAATATCATCTTTGATGAAAAATATAAGGTGGAATGTGAAACATTATTCAATATTAGTACTCACAGGATCAAATAATTCTGTACTAGCAGATTAATTTCCTTCTCTGGCCAAGAACTATAAACATCCTTTACTTCAGTCCCAACCCCTTCATTATTTAAACAAGGCTGATAAGCTTTCAACAGTTTCTATATTCACCTGTGTGAAGGGGAGAGGTTCTGAGGTAGCCCCACATGCCCCGCACACACTCTGCTCCACAAGTGTCATAGCGAACTTCTGATGTGGAATGCAGTGGCGGGCATTGCACATGTCCTCTGCCTCTCCACTGGCAATGTGGAAGTGGATCCTCAACAGGATATTCTCCTATAACAAGATCAAGTAAGGTTTACACAAAAGTCTTGGCCATAGTGAACAAACATATTCATAATCCCTACAATTAACAATATGCTGTCACTGTGTAAAGGAGGTGTGGAGGTAAAAATCTATACATTTTAGCCTTGGTACCATACTGGTGTTAGTCATACACAATTGGATGAGATGCAGGATATGGTAATGACGAGAACAATTCCTACAGTCATGCTGAGAACTGGACTCATACATCCAGTCACCTTATATACGAATGAATTAGATTTAGATGGCACAGGATGTGATCCAGAGACTGTTGTAATGCTACACCTCACTGGATTGGTCTATCATATACTGGACTGAACTAAGCTAACTCAATATGACATACAGTGACTATTGTAGTCGTTCACTGATGCTACTAGATCGGCATAAATTGAAAAGGATCTGATGATGAGTCGCTTTGCTGTCACCATGGCTAGTGAATCTGATCAAGATTCTGCAGGATGGTGACAGTTGTCTTTTAGTCGGTCATTTAATTTTTCCTGTTATAACTGTTAATGAATTGGTCTGAAGAATCCAAATAAACCACTCACAAAGCACTCGGCGGCATCATCCATGAAACCAAGTTGGAAGCGCTGCTGGTCGAAGAAGGACTCTGCCAAGGCCCTGCGCAATGTGTCAGGAGGCAGTGCACTCTCCTGGCTGAACTGCAGTTGCGAGAACAGCTCCTGCCGGCAAACAAGCATTCATTCATAGATGAATGTACATAGCAAGCACTACTAGTCTTCAAAAGTTCTGAAAAATCCAGCAGTGAAATCTGCTTGTGTCCAGAGGCACTGACAACGTTTCACATCTAAAGGTGATAAATTCTGCAGTGAGTTTATCAAGAGGCGACTTGTCAGGTTGTCTATACTTGATTGACCTGATTAAGCACAGATGTGTTCTGGGACAGAAGCAAGGACACATATCTGGGTCTAGAGATGATAAATTTATTTGTAAGAAACATAAACGAATCCTCAGATATAACTTCATGGAGCTGAGCCCTCCTGAGAAGAAGCCTATTGTGCAGCTACTCAAGAACTTCCCAGCAATTTATGGGGTCCAAAAGTTCATTATCTTGTTTACAAGAGCCATCCACTGGTCCCTATCCTAAGCCAGATCCATCCAGTCCATACCACCCAAGCTTATCTAAGATCAACTTTAATACTGTCCTCCTACATGCATTCATCTTCTCCCCCATTCGTGTTACATTTCCTGCCCATCTGATCTTCTTAGACTGAGTATTCTAATTATACGAGTATTTGGTGAAGAGCACAAGTTATGAAGCTCCTCATTATGCAGTTTTCTCTGATCTCGCATCACTTAATCCATCTTGGGTCCAAATATTCCCCTCAGCGCTCTGTTCTCAAACCCCCTCAGTCTATGTTCCTCCCTCAATGTCAGTGACCAAGTTTCACACCCATACAGAACCACAAGCAGAATAATAGTTCTGCATATTCTAATTTTTATGTTTTTAGACAGCAGACAAAAGGTTCTGGTTTGAATGGTAGCAAGCATTACCCGAAATCAATCTCCTCTTAATTTCTGCCTGAATCAAGTGTTGATTTCTCACTGTCATTCCCAAATATTTGAATTGTGCTACATTTTCAAAATCTCTGTTAGCTATCTTTATATCATGGTTTTGTTCTCCATTCTGGTGGCAAGGCAGCAACATATTTCTCCGTGCTTACTTCTAGACCAACCTCCTTACTGGTGCCAAATTTTCTGTTTTTCTTTATGATATCTAAGTTATCACCCAGTAGATTCACATCATCAGCATAGACCAACAGCTGGTGTGTCCCATTTTATTTCTTTCACCTGGTTTTCCTGGACCTTCCTAATGGCCTACTCTAAAGCGAGCATGTCCAACGTGTCGATCGTGATCGACTGGTCGATCGCGGGATGATTTTTGGTCAATCTCATAGGCCTATAAGGAAATTATACATGAAAAGCATGTAAATTCACTTGTAATTTAATATGATTATATTAAGATTTTGAAGGGAAAATACGTATTAAAGTAGTCTGTACTTTCAATTTATGTTGCTTTTACAACAAACATCATGTGTCGTGTTATTTTTACCAATATTTTTGCTTAAAGCGAGGTACGACGATAGGAGGGGGTGGTAGATCACTGGCAGTTTTGACACTAAAAAGTCGATCAGAACCTGTCTGAAGTTGGACATGCCTGTTCTAGACAATCGGTTCACAGATGGCGGTGAGGTTGTCAGCCATACGCGCCGGCCGCGCTTTACCCCNTAGGAAAATTATCAGACAAATGTTTACCTATACAGACTTTACTATACATTTTATTTAAACACATTTGAATCGGCCTAACGAATTTTATGGGTACACCAAACTCTATGAGAACACTGTACATTACTTCCCTCCTAACCAAAACATAGGTTTTCTTTAAGTCTATAAACAGCTGATGTGCTGGCTCATTGTACTGCAATTTTTTCTCCAGTATCTGACGAGTGCAAAACATCTCACCAGTAGTTGAGCCCGTTATATGGAAGCCCACACTGATGATCCCCAATAATTTCATCTATATAGGAACTTAACCTAGAGAGGATATTGGATAATATTTTGTATGAAGTTGAAAAGAGTGATATCACACAAAATTTACTATATGCAATTTTATCGCCCTTCTTGTGAGCTGGTACAGTAATGCACTTCATGAACTTTGATGTTCAGCACTGTATTAAATGTACATAGGTAGGTGTCAGCTTATACATGTTCTGAAGTTTTCATGGCCATAATTGTTAAGACTCTGGTCTTCTTGGTTGAGACATCATATCCAATAACTGCAAATGCTATCCCCTACCAGTTTATTAAAGTATAGTGCTTCAGCCTACAATTCTAACACACGCTTATCATTACTACCATCACAGAGCTACTATAAATTTGAAGGTGTAACCACAACAGAAATTAGAAATTACAGGGGCAATTTTCATGACACGGCGCTAAGGTTAAAAAGACCTACTGCCAAATGAGGAAGATACAAATGATAAATAGGAGGGGATGTAGAAGGAAGTGGACATGCATTTCAAGGTATTATTCTTACATTTAGACTTATGTGGAATGATTGAAAGAAACTTTCATAACACCACCAGTTCTCTTGCCAGGATTCGAACTGGGTACCTGCCGTGGGTCTGGTGTGCTAAAGGTGCACTAACCTGTTTGGTATAGGGGGCAAAAGTATACTGGTGTTTGTGAGAGAACTGGTACATCTCTGTTTTCTGACAAATGTAGATCTATTTTGTTCAAATTTTAAAAATTAATAGAATGGGGGATGATAAATATTAATTCTGGATGGATGGAAGGCATACACTGTAAAAGACGCTGTTCTAAACTACGATCCATGTGAGCACCTTCCGCCATTATGCAGCCTTTGTATTACTTGCTTATTTATTATTATTATTATTATTATTATTATTATTATTATTGTTCTTGTTGTTGTTGTTGGAGGGGGTGGGTTTCCCCATTCACCGCTACCAGTTTGATCTATTGTGCGTCCCCCTATAATCTTCTACCAGCCTCTATACCCTACCGGTATTGGTGCTTACCATCAGTCCCTACTCAGCCAGCGAGGTCGGCCTCTACGGGCTCAGAGGTATCTCAATGCTTCCCCCATCTACCAGAGGCGTTAGAGACTACTGTTGGGCGGGAAATGTCCTTAATTTAGCTCAGTGGCCTCCTTTGGAGACATGAAGTTCTTTTACGTGCTGTAAAGCTACGACACAGGACCCATGGCTTAAAGTCCCTCCCGGAGGACTTGTTCCCTGAATTTTTCCGCCATTAAAAATTCCACGACCTCCGCCTGGTTTGAACCCGCGTACCTTGAGTCATGAGGTGGGAACGTTACCCCTAGACTACGGAGGCCGCTTACTTGCTTACTTACTCATGGAGCTGAGCCCTTCTTGAGGAGCCGCCAATTCTGCAGCTACTCAAGAATTTCCCAGCATTTTATGGAACCTGAATGTTCATTAGCGTGTTCACAAGAGCCTTCCACTGGTCCCTATCCTGAGCTTGATCAGTCCAATCCACACCACCGCATCCCATCACTGTAAGATCCATTTTAATACTGCACACCCACCTACGCCTTGGTTTTCCCAGTGGTTCTTTCCTTCTGGCTTTCCCACCAATATCCATTCCTCGTCTCCCCCAGTCATGCTACATGCCCTGCCAACCTCATCCTCCTTGACTTGAGCATTCTAATTATACTTGGAGAAGAGTACAAGTTAAGCCTTCCTATTATGATTTATCTTTTGTCCCTTTGAAGTACCAGGGTTCTCTTTTTCTTTGTTTATGAGGAAACAAGAGTCGAATTCTTGCCAGAAGACAGAAGACTCAGGAATATCTCCATATTTGCAAGATGGCCCTATAATTTAGTGAAATGAGTCACCACCTCTGCAGACAAAACGGAATTGACGGCTACAGGCACATTCTGGCAACCCCACACAAACGTATTGTTCTTAAGACGTTCTGGGCTATTAAACGATTAAATTCTCGGATATTATAACTATGGCAAACGGAATATCGAAAGTGGGGCTCCTCACGCGATGTAAGATAGGCGTAGCGCTGCAACACATGGGATTCCCTGCGTGCATTCCAACCAGACAAGGCGATCAGAAAGCTACCAGGGGGTCAGGTATGCAGCCTCAAGTATTTGTGTGAAGATGTATGGGTCATCTGGCGACTCTCCATTCACGAATTGCAAGGGAACTCAGTATAATGAGCTTACAGGAATTCAATCACACGCAAGATTTAAATAGTGGGATGCAGTTATCTTCTGTTTTCGGCTAGAAAGCTTCACTTCTCCGGGAAATATAAAACGCAAAACGGTACCCACAGAGATTAGAAGCTACATGTGTTTCCTTGAATACTTCTTAACTGGCAGGACTGCAGTCGACAATATAAGAGACACTAACTAGTCTTCAGGTTTGTTGCAAAAACGTTTAATTATAATTGATTTCCGGAATGTAAAGGTAAAAAAAAGGGTAAATCTATCCCTGTAATATATCGTAGAGGCCCATAGGGCTGTGACGCGTAGAGGCTTCCACATTTTCTGGACAATCGGCTCACAGATAGTGGTGAAATTGTCAGCCTTACGCGCTGGGCGCCCTTTATACCCAGGAAGATCCCTGGTGCTCACTTACATTAGAGGCTGAGTCAACCCCTGAGCCATAGTGCGGTTGGGAGGATCAGGTCAATTGAAAAATCCAATGACCTCATCGGGAATCCAATCCACGACCTCGCGGCTTGAAGCACAGTGCCTCAATCAACTACGCTACCGCGCAATATTTCTCTCAATTCAGTTTTATGACATTCGGCTCCTCTCTCTGGTAGGCCTACAGACAGGCCATGAAGATAGAGCTGTTGCTATGAGTAGGCAATCACGAAGGAGTGTAGGTAAATCTCCACTCATTATCAATAACAGTGTTAAACTCGAGGTCACAGAAAGATGCCCCATGGATCGATCGCCTCGATATGTTCCTCAGGCTATTGTACGCTTCTTCCTCCAGAGTCCTACTTCCCCAGATGCACTGCTAGCCGTCTAGCCGCTCTCTTCATAGGAATGTCGGTAGTGACACGTTATGGTGCGGTCTACAAACGGAATCACAAGCATAAACTGCATGTAGATTCTAAAGGGTTCTGGCGGTGGTGTATAATACTCCGATAGGCAAAG